GATGAAAAGATTTGTGCATCAACTTACCAGCAATATACGAACTGCACAGACCGCATCCGTGTCCACATTTGCCAATATAAGAACGTGCTGCAAACAAATTTCATCTTTTTTTTCAAATTTTTTTCAAAAAAAAAAGAAAAACACAATTTTGCCTTGAAAAAATATCTGTGATGACTGTTTTTAAATATTTTTGGTAACTAAACATTACAGAATTAACGGTGCCAGAAATCTTGGGCTATTAATACAGCGATAGGTATTTACAGCTATGCTTAGTGGTTCAGCAATCCACATCAGATTTCTTTTGGGAAAATTTTTGCTCGAGTGGCGATCCGTTAGCCAATAATCTTAAACTGGTAACTGGTAATCTCAAATTTACTATGATAAACGCGTGTTCTACCAGACCTGCCATCTTCATATCTCCTTTTCCTTGCTTTTTTTTTGCAACAAATGAGAAATTGCGGGGGTTTTTTTTGCAAAAATCAGAAATTTTTTTTGTTTTTTTTTTAACAAAACGAAAAATTGAGGGTTTTTTTTTACAGCAGTCAGAAATTTTTCTTTTCTTTTTTTTGCTTTTTTTGCAACAAACGAAAAACCGGTGTTTTTACAGCAGTTAGAAATTTTTCTTCCTTTTTTTTGTTTTTTCTTGCATCAAACGAAAAACTCCTGGCTAGTTGAAAAAAATCTGACAAAACTACATTCCACTTTCTGTAGCACTATTCAATTTTACACAGTTCAAAATCATATCCAATACTCGTTTTTGAATTATTCTCTGTGAGCGGGTGAGGCTTTTTCAAACAGCCCGAGCGACCATTTAGTCCCCCTCCTTTTTCTTTTGAAACGGCCAACTGCTCCCCTTTCTTTCGAAGGTGCATAGAAGCTAGCCAGTGGCCTGTGAGTTCTTTTGCAAAACATTTCCTGTAGGTGCTGTTCATGCAAAACATTGGATTTTTTTCGTTTAAAACCTTCCTCTTTTAAGATATTTTTCTCACTCGATGCCAACTAGTTCCAGTACAGGAACTGCAAAATTCGGTCAGTGTTTACAGCTAAGGGATAAAGCAAAGACTGCATCGTAAAATGTCTTCATTTACACATAACACTTATTCAAATCCCTCTATTTCGCTATTCCAATACAGGAATTCAAATGCCTTTGAAATAACTGCGTTTTTAAATTCCTCAAAAAATTCAAAAAATACTCACATCTCTGCAAAGATGATTGTAGAAATGATGTCGATAATTCTCGCAGATAATCATATTCCGTTTAGTTGGAGTTTATCCTAAAAATTGTTCTAATAAATCACAAAAACACGATGAATAACCTTTATTATCGAATTCCGAAACAGCTCTGCCCAAACCACAACAGGCGCCACCGAGTACGAGAAAAGATTCTTGCCAAATTTTTACAGTCACTTCTGTTGTCTCTCATTCTTGCCAAATTTGACCAACCACACTTCTCTTGTCGATACATTACTTCACACCCTATTACTGTTGTAGAATTACCAATTCCATGAAACTATCGATGCTTTTTGCCCTCCCTTCACCCCTTCCCCCAAGTACTGTATGACGATGCAGGTGTCTAGAATTGTGATACCGCTATATATCGTGTTAGTGAATCAGTGTGTGTGTGCATGTGTGTGTATGTGTGTGTTTATGTGTATGTATGTGTATGTATGTATGTGTGTGTGTGCATGTGTGTATGTTTATATGTGTGTGTGTGTGTGTGTGTGCTAAATAAACTGGAGTGAAGAATTCCTCGACATAACCGTACTTTTTTCTTTTTTTCCAACCCCCATTTTTTCCACCCTGTTACAACGTTCTTCACATTCCAAGCCAAAATTGCAATTTACTGGAATAGTGCTGCAACATGCTGACACCTACCTAACGACGAACTGTTGCAGTCATCTACCATGCGTCATCATTCCACGGTTCGCTGGGCAATGCCGTCGTTAAATTGTGCTGCTCTCCGGTGGCAAGAGTGGTATTTCATGTTTCATTTCCAAATAACCAGGAAAACTGGCAAAACAATAGGACTGGGAAGTGTTGTTGCTTTTATAGTCGATGCTATGTTAAAATTGAAAAAGGCATCGTCGTCTCGTGCCGTTGTGATACAAATAACGTTGTGATACCGACTATTTCAACAAATAGACCAAATAACGTTCTTTTTTTTTTTGAAAAAAAACTTTTTTAAACGATTTCTTGCTTTTTTCTTTGAAAAAACCCCCAAAATTCCTTCTTAAACGATTTCAGCGATTCAAAAGTTGGCATTAAAAGTATTCGCAAAAAAGAAATTCTCGAATTGGAAAACTTTCAAAATCAAAAAACAGCTATCTCCACATCTCCTCGGCCGAAATTTCGCAGGTTTCCAAGAGATTTTCACAGGATTTTTCGTTACGGACACGAAAAAAAGTTTTACTTCGGCCAAACCAATGATATATCCTTGGAAATCAACCCCCAGCGAACATATCCTTCAGAATGAGGGAGTAGTACAACACGATAGCACAAAAGGTACCATGGAAAAGGGCAATTTTGCACCAAAACCTCGCAAAAACCCCGCAGGAACACCGCGTGGCTACACTGCGACGAAGCGAAACACTGCACGGGGATGAGGATAAGAGGGACAGAGACAAAGTATATGTGAGGGGGGAGGGAACCA